CTAAACTACCCTCCCCCTTTCCCTCCTTCCCTAGGGTGTGACCTAATTTATGGGCTACTTCTAAGTACTAATAAATTATAATAATAAAAGTTGTTATTGATAACATTATACCTTAATAATAAGGTGTATATATATATTGCAAATTTAGATTTACGCTGACAATAAATATTTAAATGCAGCGCATAGATTTGCTGAAGTAATATGGTCTCGTGGACTTCTTTGTAAAGGTTATGGTTTGTGTCATGGAGTTGCTGGAAATGGTTATGCCTTTTTATGCATGTTCCAGTTGACAAATGATTCTTCTTACCTTTGGAAAGCTGTTAAGGTTCTAATTTAAAATAATTATACATTTACTTTTAATTTAATTTGTTAAAAATTGTTTAATAATAGTTTGGTTTATTAATTATAAATATTTATAAAAAATAATAATTTGGTTTATTAATTAAAAATATTTTTAATAATGAGTATAAACATGAGCATAAACACTGGAAGTTATCACTATCTAAATTGTTACTACCTTTTTTTTTAAATTAGCAAGTTTGACTAAAAGGATATAAGAATCAAAAGATAAGACTTTTATTTCCTATCTTAACTCAATGTAACAAAAATGTTTTTTATTTCAGATTTTAGGGTTTATAAAAGGAGTATATATCTGAGTTTGTTCCACTCGATTTAATTTACCTTTAATTCACTTGATTTAATTTACCATAAATACAATTTACAATTTTGATTTACAAAAAATTTTCAAAACTTTATTGGTTTTTATTGAATTTTAAAATTTTTATTAATTAATTATAAAAATTATAATGAAAATTTGGTTTAATGTTTTTAAATTCTTTATTACTCTTGAGTAAGAATATTGTTAACTATTCTCAATTTTGATATAGGTATGCCTCCTGTAGATATCATAGAGCAGGGGTTGGCAACCTATTTGAAGAGCCGATTTTCCTTTGACATTTTTTTAAAAAATTACTAAGAGCCACAAATATACGAGCTTAAAAAACTAAAGTTATTATTAAAAACTTGTTTTATGATATTTAATAATATTTAAATGTCTTAGAGACTTTTTTTTTACATGATAACACAATAATATTTAAATGTCTTAGACACTTTTTTTTACATGATGACACAATAATATTTAAATGTCTTAGACACTTTTTTTTTTACATGATGACACAATAATATTTAAATGTCTTAGACACTTTTTTTTTACAATGATTCACAGATTTGTTTTATTATAAATGGAAGTCTTTAGTTTTAGGCAACTTTCAAGGCTGATATTGTATTTTAAGTTACTTTTAGTATATGTATATGTTGCTAAATATCTGCTCACAATAATATGTTGATCTGAAAAACTGTCAAATGCCACCAGCTTAAGTTGGTTGTTACTCTCAGTAAGACTATTCTATGTTTCAAATATAATCTGATCTTCTGTTTAAGAAGTTTAAAGTTCTTTTCCATTTATGACCTTCTGCAAACCTTTCTGTATTTTTTTCCAAGTTTTTCTGTTTGCAAAGTATATTTGATTTCAAATCTGTTAACTGTAGTTTCAAGTTGTGTTGACTTTTTGAAATGGTTTAAAATTAATTAAGTTAAATTAAGTTTAAGTTATAATGACTTTTTGAAATGGTTTAAAATTAATTCCTTTTCTATTTATAATAAATGGATCAAATTTTACAAAGCAAATTTTTTGCTTTCTGAACTCTGTAAAGCGATTGTCAAAAAAAATCTTTCATTTTTTCGATAGTAGCAAAAAAAAAAAACACCATATTTTAATAACAATGCATTTCAATGCTTTTTAAATGGAAGAAATGAATTTTGACTGCTAATATCTTAGGATATTTGAGTTTCAAAAGAAATTTTATTTTCTAAAATCAAAAGTGCAGTCTTGTCTTTGCAATATCTTATTGAGGTTGTTAAGAGTTTTTTTTATATAAATTGCTATTGCTAAACGCTGGGTATTCAAAAGCTTTTGATGACAAATACTGTTTTAGTATCAATACAGAAGCCAAACAGTTTAAGAACATCCCCTGGGTAAACAACAGACATTTTATAAAACAACATTTTATGTTAACATATTTTCTTAAAATTTATTTTTGTGCTTGTCATTTTATTAAAACACTTTTTAACAATGATTGTGTCTTTGTGCTGAAGAAGCATTTTTCTATTAGTTTTTTATGAACTTGAGAACTTTGGAATTTTCTTCTTTTATCTTGTTTTCTTATTATAGTTGTATATTATATATTTGTTTATTCAAGTAAAAAAAAACTCATTTAATAAAAAATAGTTCATTATTTTACTTTATATCTGATATTGGATTGTTTGATATTTGTCACAAAACATATTTTGTTAAACAAAATATAAGGTTTTATTTGACATTAAAAAAAATCTTTCTTTGATCTCAAGGAAATTGTTTTTTAACATATTCCGTGTCATATCGATATGTTCAATATGTTTTGTGTCAAATATCAAACAATCCAATATCAGATATAAGATATACAAGAGTTTTCTTTTGTTCCAAGTAAGCCACTGAACCATTTTATCTTACTAATGGATTTTTTAATTATTTTATAGCTAAAGCTTAAAAAGAATCATATCAAAACATATGGAAAGTCAAAATGACCAATACTGAAAAAATGTTTTTTTTTTTTCCTGTAGTATTATTCTTAAATCCAATCAGATGAGGAGATTTTTTTAATATTTGATAGAATTATATATCATCAAAAAAAAAATATTGCAAGAATATTCTGTAACATTTATATAACAGAATATTTTGCGAATATCTTGTATAAATTTGATGTAGGGTGATTTAGGGAGATCTAGGGTGATCTAGGGTGATGTAGCAACTTATACTATTTTAAGTCTATTTTAATTTTTTAGTTTGCTGAATGGTGTCTTGACTATGGTGTTCATGGTTGTCGCACTCCTGATCATCCATTCTCACTTTTTGAAGGTGTTTGAAATTAATTATCTGATATTTAATTTTTTATCAAAAAGTTAGTTTAATTAATAGTTAAACAGTAAAGAAAAAAGTTTCTTGAATTTTTATTAAATATAACATATACATCTATATATAAATATATAAACATCTTAGTCTTTCCTAATTAGTCTTTCAGAAAGCTTCATTGATGGCCACATACTGAAATAGCCATCTGCAACCCCTTTAGTGCATATATTGACTGGGTTTGGAAAGTTTTATCTATGATATAAAGGACTTTTATAACAGACAAGAAAAAATTTTTTGTCAGAATTTTAAACTTAATGTATTCAAGTGTTAAAAAATAGCCGACTATAGCTACAGATTGAGTAAACATGCAGCTTAAAAAAAAACTGTAGGCAAGTTTTTTTTAAATAAATTTCAAATGAATAATTTGTAATATGGCTCATTCTAGAAAAAGAACATTGTCTTTTAATTTGATATGCGATATTAAATTCATATACATTAAATTTGCTTTCTTTTTAGAGCTAAATAAATAGATGTTAAGAATATGTTTCTCAAGTGTTGTGTGACTGGATGCAGAAGTAGCTATGATGTTACAAAGTCTGCGAAAGTTTTTCCATTTTCCTTCCAATTAAAAAAAAAGTGGATGAATGATATAAATGTATAAATGCTATACCTCAAGATAATATTTCAAATACTTTATTTGTGAAGATAATTAGCCTAAAGACTATGAAAAAGTTTAATTTTCCCTAATGACAAAGAAAAAGACCAAAACATTTGCCATCTTTATTTTTAAAGATAATTAGCCTAAAGACTATGAAAAGGTTTAATTTGTCCTTATGGCAAAAAAAAAAAGATCAAAACATTCACCATCTGTATTTTCTTGTGTAAATCCAAGTCGAATTCCAATTCACCGCCAGCAAGTCTAACTACTAAATCATTATCATCTTTAAGAAGTACTGTGCCTGATGAATTAGAAACTTTTATGAAAGCGGATATTTCATCCTTCTAAGATTTGTGTTATAAAATAATGTCTCAAACTAAAAATACTTTTTTATGTTAAAGTATTTTCTTCCAAAGATACTTATCAATCTTTTTTAATAAGAGAGCAGTAAAAAAAAGTATATATATATATATATATATATATATATATATATATATATATATATATATATATATATATATATATATATATATATATATATATATATATATATATATATATATATATATATGTATTTTAGGGTGCATCAAACGCCCCATACTTTCAAAAATTGATCTGTCCCTATTCTTAAAACTTTCTATTGTTACTCACATTACACTCTGTTAAATTTTTCCAAAATTGATTGAGATTTATGGCGGCCTCCTCAAATCTGAAACTTGCGACGAGACCCTAAACAGAAGAAAAAAAGTTTTTTGAATGTATGTCATGTTGTGAATGTTTTGAATGTATGTCAAAAAAAATTTCAAAAACAATTAAAATTTTAAATAATATTTATTATTATAAGTTTTATTGCATAAAAAATAATTTTTAAGTAAAAAATTAAAAAAAGCCATTTTTTCATGGATTTTGGTCGAATTTTTTTTTCAAGGTATTTTTAACAAAAAATCATAACTATTTTTGAAATTTTTATAAAGTTTCGCTTCTTTTGAGATCCTTTTGAGATTTTGAAAAACTTTTTTTTCTTCTGTTTAGGGTCTCGTTGCAAGTTTCATCTTCATATTCAATACTGTTTAGATTTAATGGTAAATTTGGGTGGAAATATGGCTGATTTTTCAACAATGAAAACTTAAAAGAATTCTATTTGGGAAAATGCACAACAATACAAGCAAAATATCAAATCCCAGTAAAACTATTTTACCCAAAATTTTGATGGAAAAATTAAAGACGAAATATATATATATATATATATATATATATATATATATATATATATATCTTTTTACTGCTCTCTTTTTAAAAAAGATTGAGAAGTATCTTTGGTTGAAAATACTTTAACATAAAAAAGTATTTTTAGTTCTAGACATTATTTTATAACACAAATCTTAGAAGGATGAAATATCCGCTTTCATAAAAGTTTCTAATGAAAATGGTCCTGAACTGTTTAGGAATTCAGAGAAATCAAATTTGCTGAAGGCTCTTAATTTTAAATTAGAAAAACCACCCAGTCTTATATAATTAGTGGCAAATAATTTTAGATTCATATTTGATTTGTTAAATCTCACAAAACTGAATGATAAACTTTAAACAGCTTGGCACCACCATGGGATGGGTGTCCTACAATGTTCCAGTAAATTCATTAAGAATCTTTTTATCTTAAAAAGAATAATGAAAAAAAAAAAAAAAATTATATAGTTATTAAGATTAGTGTTAGGGTCAAGATAGGGTTAGGGGTCAGGGTTAGGGTTAGGGTCAAACTACCTCTAAAGATAAAGATTTAAAAAGTTGGATAGTTTTTGATCAAAATGTTTTTTTCCGCGTCTACTTTGTTCTGCGTCTGAAAATGGTTTAATAGAAAATTAAAAATATTTTTTTAATGTTAAATAATTAATTAACTTTTTTGGAGAAAAAAACTTGTAAATTATAAATGTGATTTAAGTGTGTCAGTTACATAAAAAAAATTTTATTTGCCCAAACCCAAACACTTAATGTATGTACTGAAGCTCCTTCAGTACCTACATAAACATTCATAAATTGAAGTGAAAAAAACCCAAACACTTAATGTATGTACTGAAGCTCCTTCATTATTTCAGTATAAAGTCATTTATGACGTTTTATACAATTATGTATTAAATCATGTATAATTTTTAATTGTGGCATGAAGTATGTTACTATTTCATGTATTTTACTGTTTTGGGTTTAAAATTTGGGCTAAGGAGTAAACTTTGTCACAGATGAATAGTTTATATCTACCCTCCCAGAACTGCATGTATCAAATCATAGGTTTAAATCAAAAAGTTTATAACTGACACTTTTTCAAAACCCTGTTTTCTCTGTTTTGTAAAAATTTCAGTTATAACTTTTTTGCTCTGAGCCCCTGAAATATTATTAAACAGCTAAAAAAAAAACTTTTATCCTTAATAATAATATATATTTAATACTTAATATAATGGTATTTTAATATAAAAATTTTTATTTTTATCTCATAAATTAGTTTTGCTTTTTATTTAGGTTTGGCTGGTACTCTTTATTTTCTTTTGGATATTTTAACACCTTACCAAGCAAAATTTCCAGCTTTTCAGTTGCTGTCATATAAGTAGTTTATCTAATATGGTTGACATTGATGGACACTGATTGATCCATGTTCTTGATAAAAACCAAATACACCAACATATCTTTACACCATACACCTCTTATTTATTTTCTTATGGATTACATTAAAGAACAAAAGTTGTTATGTTAAATATATATTAATTTAGAAACACTCACATTTTAGTTATTGTATATATATAAATGTATATTTTTAATATTTTTTATGAAAGTACTTAAATTGATAAAGTCACATATGTCATTAATTAATGTTAACTTAAATTGATAAAGTCACGTTAATGTCATTGTAATATATATATATATATATATATATATATATATATATATATATATATATATATATATATATATATATATATATATATATATATTTATATTTATATTTATATTTATATATATATATATATATATATATATATATATATATATATATATATATATATATATATATATATATATATATATATATATATGTATATATATATATATATATATATATATATATATATATATATATATATATATATATATATATATATATATATATATATATATATATATATATATATGTATATATATATATTTATATTTATATAACAAAATTAAATCTAATTAGTTTATATATTTATATAAATATATATCTACTATAGCGTATATAAATATTATTTGCAGTAGTGGTGTAATGGTAGAGTGCCCGCCGCGTAATCAAGAAGTTCCGAGTTTGATTTCCACCATGTCCTTGGTAGTACTGCGCTCAACTTGATTTTCTGAGCAGTGGTCTTGTTCGTCAAGGTTTGGAATTTGGAGTTATAGAGTTGAGAGAGGATTATAACCACAATTAAAGTAGCCTCCTCAGCTCTAGTGGCCTTCTCTTTTTGTGTTAATTCATCTCCCTTGGGGATATCAGTTAACAATAAAAAAATCATAGATATACATTAGCTGATTTTTTCTTGCCTAATTAAAACCATAAGTTTTTTTTGGAAAAAGAAGAAAAAATGAAGAATAATGAAAAAATAGATTGCTGCTCTATCTCAAACCCTTATAAAACCATATAAGTCAATGTAGCGGCACTCTATGCAAGTTTATAAATATACATATATATATATATATATATATATATAATATATATATATATATATATATATATATATATATTCAATTAAATTCACAAAATTTAGTTGCACTTTTACAAACTTCTCATATATTTTTAAAATGTTCTAGTTTGTTTTGTTCCAGAAAATTATAAAACATGCCGAAAGAAAGAGTTCAAAAGAAAACAAGGGTACACACGCAAGTTAAAACAGAAGGTTAAATCCATTATTTAATCAAGAAATTTTTTTTATTAAAATGTACAAGTTTAATCCAACAAAATGATAAACAACTACTCTCATTCATTAATTCATTTGTTCATTTATAGAGTAAATATTTTTATACAAAGTATTATGATTGTAAAAGAAAATCTTAATAAAATAAAGAAAAAAAATAAAATTAAATGAGTTTAAATAGTAATTAAAAAATAAATAAAATTAAAGGATGATTATAGAAATGATAAAGAATGAAAAACAATAGTATTAACAGTAAAAATAAAACTAAAAATAAATAAACAATGAAAGTAAGAACGAAAGAATGAACTTAAAAAAGTTGAGATTTAAAACTTTTTTTAATCTGCACATTATTTGAATTAATAAAATGACATTTAATTTTTAAAATTGCTTCCTTTTAAATTATTTTAAATAAGTTTTTTTCATGTAAGGCCAGGCTTAAGATTAATAAAGGTTCAGGAATTATATATTAATGAGCACAATAGAGTGAAACAATTGCAATCAGCTTTGATTTTTCTTTTGAAAAAGATAAATTAATTTTAACTTAAACAATAATCTATTTTATAAAACATTTTCTTAATTGCAGTTTTGGTTTTTTATATATAGTATATTATTTAATAAAACATTTTCTTAATTGCAGTTTTGGTTTTTTGTATATAGTATATTATGTAATGAATATATATAACTGTATCAACATACTATGCAATTCATCTTATTTTGCACATAATTTAAAATTGATATGCCAAACCTAATAATGCCAAATAATATGATAGTAAAATAATGATAATAATTAAATAAAAAAAACATTGAGACTTAAAAAAAAAAAAAAAATTTTATTTAAGATTACTTTTTTTTCATTATATATACTAAGAATATAATAATTAAATGACCTCTTTTTTTTTTCTATATATAATATTATAAATGAATTATTTAAAATAAATGTAATAAAAATAATTGAAACTTTTTATAAACTTTTTTCTGGCAATTATTGTAATCGTTGCTTGCTGATAACTGACTGACAGATGACTGATTTTAACTTATGTAAATGTATTAGCATTTACAGTTTCCCAATTATTAATAGATTTGTTTATATAGTTTTTCATTATTATATTATAGTTTTTGAACATTTTTAACTAAGAATATAATAAAGTTTTAGAATTAAGGAATGTTAAAAAAGGTCCAAAAAATTATGAATAAAGATTAAAAACGAAATAGTGTCAAAAATGAAACTTTGATTTTAGTTTAAAATTAAAGTCAGAATTTTTGTGGCAAATTTTATTTTGCAATCGGAGAAGACTAATTTAAACAGATTTTACTTTTGTTTAAATGGAAATAAAAGACTCATAAAAGCTTTTGTTAAACAGTTTTGGAGGCATATAAAATGTTCAAGAATTGTCAAAAAACTTCTTAAGAAATGTCTCTCTACACAGCCTTAACTTTACCAGATAAATTGTGTAATAGTATACTTCAATTTTATAATAAACACAAGGCTGTAATAAGCCTTTATATGGTTTAAAGATCCATAAATAAAATAATATAAAGACACTTGATAAAGTTACATCCATTTTTAAAATCTTGATTTAATTATTTTATTTTGTTAAAAGTTTTAATAATTTAATTATAATAATTAAACAGTTAATATTAGAGTTGTTTTTTAATGGTGTGTTATTTCGTGATATATTTTAATGGTGTGTTATTTCATGATATTATAGGCATTCAGTTTAAACACGAGTTTGGACAACATATTTTGAAGAATCCATTAATTGTTAATGCTATTATTGACAAGGTGATTTTTTTTTTATAATCAATAAATTTGTTTAATCTAGTTTGTTAGGCTATAAGAATGAAGATTTTTAGAAAATAATTAATTGATTAACTTTAAATGCAAAATGTTTTCATAGTAAATTAGTATAAATTAAGTTTGTTATAATCAAATGAAACAAATTAAATTAAAACAAAGTCAATTTTTGCATTTATTCTTAATTTAGTAAAAGTGATTTTACAGTTCTGTGCGAATGTTTGCTTTCTAAGGAATGAGTGGCCTCTTTCTAGTGAGTGAGTGGTTGTGTTCTAGTGAGTGTGCGGTTGCTTTCTAGTGAGTGAGTGGTTGCTTTCTAGTGAGTAAGCGGTTGCTTTCTAATGAGTGTGCAGTTGCTTTCTAGTGAGTGTGCGGTTGCTTTCTAATGAGTATGGGGTTGCTTTCTAGTGAGTGAGCAGTTGCTTTCTAGTGAGTGAGTGGTTGATTTCTAGTGAGTGAGTGGTTGCTTTCTAGTGAGTGAGTGAGTGGTTGCTTTCTAGTGAGTGTGTGAGTGGTTGCTTTATAGTTTGTGAGTGGTTGTTTTCTAGTGAGTGAGTGGTTGCTTTCTAGTAGTAGTTTTGTGTTAATTATTATGATATTTAAGGCTGCAATAAAATCTACGGATACAGTATTAGAAGTTGGTCCTGGTACAGGAAATATGTCTGTAAAAATCTTGGAGAAAGCAAAAAAGGTTTATTTTTAATTTGTAAATGATAAACTTTTTAAAGTTTTTAATAAATGGTTAAATATTTATAAGATTTTTTCAAATTCCAGTTAATTGCTTGTGAGCTGGACCCACGTATGGCTTCTGAGTTACAGAAAAGAGTGCAAGGAAGGTAATTATATGTGTATACAAATATTATATATATATATATATATATATATATATATATATATATATATATATATATATATATATATATATATATATATATATATATATATATATATATATATATATATATATATATATATATATATAATATATATATATATATTGACTGATATAATTGGTATTGTGCTTTTGCTTTATTTTACTTTATGCTTCAATAACTTTAAATCAAAAGACTCCAAATGTCTATTAAATGCCACCAAATGTCTATTAAATGATATCAGAAAGAGTAAAAAAAATGTATACGAAGTTGTTTAAACAAGTAGGATGAAATGGGTAAAAAGAGTCATATCCATATTATTACCATATCCAGACAGTGAAGTTAATATACCATGCTGTAGAACTATTGATAAAGCAACTGAATTATTGTCCTTTCTCAGGGCTCAATTTAACAGTCAGACATCGGACATTTAACAGTCGGACATCGGACATTGTCCAGCTAAAACCTCAAATTATCGTTTTATTAAAGTTACGCAAAACGCTTTTACAAATTACTTCTATTGATTGTTTAATAAATAAACAAATTTTATTTAAATTATTAAAAAAAAAAATATATAATATTTTTAAGTTTAAACATTTTTTTCAAAAAATTGCAAAAAAAAATTTTATAAAAAAACAACGTCTTTTTAAAATTATTATTTTTATTCATTTCATTCTTTGATTAAAAGTCAAGTTTAAATTTCAAAAATCAAGTTTAAATTAAATGAAAAAAAACAAAAACTTTTAAACAATTCTTTGTAAAAATAGAAAAAAAAAAAGCCAATTAAATCTTGGGAAGATTTAAATTAACTTATAATTTAAAGTAACTTGAAAAAAATAATATTTCTAAAAAAAAAATTATATTTATAGAAAGTCTTTTTAAAAAATTTTTTTTTAGAAAAAACAAGATTTTTTTTCCCAACATAAGAACAAATTTCAGAGTTTTTTTTAATTAATGAAGTAGTTAGTTTACTGCAATTGATACAAATTTTTTTTCCATAATCTATAAATTTTTTTTGCAATATTATCTTTGTCTTTTGAAGAATTTGAAAATAAACTCAAAACAGAAAACTGTTCAGCTGTGTCTGTTTAAAACTTGTTGAACTTTTTCAACTGCCACAGAAGTTTTGTAAGGATAATCTGGCATATGACAGGTGTCTACTATCATGGCTCTCCAAGGGCAACTAATATTTTAAAAAAATGCTTGTCAGTAATCCGACAGGACGACCACTCAGTTTGTTACTTACAAAAGTGTGTTTATTAATAAAACTATACTTTGATCTATAAAAAAGTTATTCCTTGCTATTATTTAAGAGAAAACTTTAACAAGCATTTAAAGTAGTATACACTTCGTTTAACTAATTGTACTCATTGTACACGTTGTAAATGCGTTAATGCGTTGTAATTTTTACCAAACTTAATTAAACTAAATTAAATTTGGTTGAAGATTGAGAGAGAATAATAGAATATTTTTTTTATATATAAAACGTTTCTTGGCAGTTTTGGCTTTCAATATTTTTGCTTCATAGAATGAAACCTTTGTTAAGATCAACAAAAATAATAAGATGTAGATATCAATTACTACAAAAATGACAATGCATCTTCAATTAAATTAATAAATTTATTAATTTACTTTTAAATAAACTGTTTCTTATTAGATGTCTTTTAGTAGTCAGAGAAAAAAATATTAAAAAAAAATTTTTTACACTGGACTACTGATTATCATAACAGACAACTCAAATGAGAAATAAAAACTGTTTCAGCCTCCCGCAGGGCAACTGCGATCCATCCATCTGTTTTGTCTTTTATTTTTTACTGTAAAATATTGACCAATAATGGCATAATTCAGTTGTTTATATGTAAACACATATAAAGTTTATATATGTAGGGGAGACCGGGGCTAGTTGGCTCGGTTTTTACTCTATGAGCTCTGTAGCCCTAATAGCACACTTTTTTGAAAATATTAAAGTGTAGTCTCAAAGCGTATGAACTTGGGTAACTTATAAAAGTTTCATGGATTTACAAAAAAAATTTCTTGGGGCCTTACGGGGCCCTCAAAAAAAAAAAAAAAATTGCGCCAACTTACCCCACCACGGGGTAAGTTGACGCAAACTATAAACGTGATTATTAATGTACTATTAAGTGCAAAATTAATAGAAATTTTTTACCTATTAATTTTGGCAACAATTTAAGCTAATAATTTGATATTATTTTTAGCTTGTGCTAAATATTAGTACGTATAACAGCCAAAACAGCAGCCCTCTTTTTACCTGTTACAAAAAACCTAAAAAAAAAATTTTTATAATTTTTTTGTAAGAATAAGTTTTTTCAATATTGTTAAAAATTAAAAAAATTAAAAAAATTATTTTTATAAAAATAAATATTTTTCTCCATAGTAAATGCTATGAGCCAACTTACCCCGTAAAAATTTTGTCAACTTACCCCGAAGGCTTTTTTTTCAATAAACAGTCTATAGATCCTGAAAAACGGCAATTTTTAAAAAAAGTCAAACTAAATATAGTAAACCAATTGTGGCTAGAACTTTTACAATAATTTTTTTTTCATTTGACTAACTATTTTTTTTGTAAAGTAAAAAGGAAGCGATGTTTCAAAAGTTACGTTTTTGTCCAAAAAACACTTAAATCTTAATATCTCCCATGCGCATGCGCGAATCCTGACAATACTACATTGAATGATGAAACAGTCAATTAGGAAGATTCTGTGTAATTTTTATCACTTTCTGATGAAAGGCTTTAAAGATAAACGCAATTCGTCAACTTACCCCTGCGGCCAACTAGCCCCGGTCTCCCCTACACATATATACACTCAGTTAAAGTTACACGGATATACAATAATAATAAAGTTGATTCTTGGAATGCCTAACCAGATGATGTTGTCAATGCCTTTACTATCAACATTTTCAAAAAAAAAACTAGATCAGCAACTATCATAGTTACAAAAGTGCATCATTTTCCATGGCTGTATTGCTGCAGCTATACAATCTAGCTTGCTAGCTAATGATGAACTTACGGTTCATTCTGTTCTGTGTAACTTTAATTATGTGTAAATATGTGTACACCAAAATTGTAGTATATATATTATATATATACAGAATGCTTTGATCAGCAGTTAGATTTCTTACTGAAAGCACTTCTAACTGAGAATTATTAACAATTATTAAGATTTTTTAAATGCTATAATTATTATTTTTATAATGCTAAGCTGAGGGGGATAAAAAATATTTTTTTCTTTTGTATTAGTCAAATACTCAAATTTATTTTAGGCTTTCTAAAGTTTAAAACCCACAGTTTAAAAAAACTTATTTGAAGTTTATAAATCAATTAAATTTTTTAATTTTTGCGAGCAAATGCATTCTGTGACATAAAGAAAACCCTACACTAATAAAAATAAAAAGCATTTATAGTTTTTTTTTTGTTTTTTGTTTTGTTTTAATTTTTCTTTTTTTTTAAATATATATATTTCAATTTAATTTATATTCCTTTGTAGCCCAGAAGCTAATAAATTACATTTAATTGTTGGAGATGTTCTTAAATCAGAACTTCCTTACTTTGATTGTTGTGTTGCAAATTTGCCATATCAGGTAGTTTAGTAGTTTTTTTTTTTCAATATTGTAAAAAAAAAATTTTTTTAATAATTTTTTAGAAAATTATTCTAAGTACTCGGTGTAGTTAAGGCACCTTTAAAATATTATAGCGTCTGTATGATATTTTGTTGACTACAACATATTTCTGTTAAATGGTCTGGTCTGTGAATTATGAAAAGACAAAAAATATTTAAATGATAAATTTTGTGGTACTATAAAATATAAATGTTTGTAGTGAAAAACCTAGACTGAAGATTCTTTTTTTTAAAAAAATCATCTTAAAATCTCAATCGCTAATAATAATTTGAATAAGATTTTATATTAATACGTTTTTTAGGTGAAATGAACATTATGGTTTAACAATATGATCTATTCTGATCGTTTATTGGCAATTTTCAATAATTATAAGCTCTTTCTTGGTCGGAATTCTAGTATTTTTTGTGAAAATCAATAGAAATATTGTGTTTTGACAACTATATATAGTTAATATATGTCAGAACCAATTAGAACTAGTTAATATACTATATAGAACTATTTAATATACTAATATATAGTTAATATACGTCAGAACCGATTAGAACTAGGATCAGTAGTAAATTAAGGAACTTTTTCAAAAGATTTTAACTAAATTCATGATAATGCTGATGAGCAGAATTGATCTAAAGGCTCCAAAATAGTGTTCTTTAGATTCACTATTATGTGTAGTAAAAAGGTTTTGAAAATTATATTAAAAAAAGAAAAGTTTCTTTAAATAATATAAAATCCTTAAGCAAAAAAAATTATAACATTTAAAGATCTTGTTCGGACATAATATGCTGACAAAACCATGCTAATTCCAAATAAAAGTATTCAAATATTTTGTAAATTGTCTTAACTACACTGCATAGTTTTGTTTTTATTTTCTTAAATTATTTTTATCATAAATTATTTAAAATATTGATTATTATATTTAGATTTCCTCTCCATTTGTGTTTAAACTTTTGTTGCATCGTCCTTTCTTTAGGTAAAAGCATATAAATCAGGGATGCAGAAAATAAAGATTTCCGGATTTGAAAGTAACAAAAAGATTATTTCTTACAGGTTTTTGGTATCCAGGAGCTTCAAAAATGTAAAGTAGCTAATGAATTACTTTTCATTTTTGAAGGAAAAAAGATTTTTAAGTTAGATGTAAAATCAATTTTTAAACTGGAGTTTTTTTGGAGCTCCTGGACACCAGAGATCAGGAAAAATTTGAAGCTGGAGTCCTTTTGGGTCTTCGCATCCCTGATATAATTGAATATATGAATATAAAATATTTTTTTTTTATAACTAAGAATATCTTTTTCCAATGAACAAATTTTTATCTTATAAGTGTGCTGTTCTTTTCATAATTGTGCAGTTCTTATAGTTCTTTTGTAGGTGTGCAGTTCTTATGTTTCAACGAGAATTTGCTCAACGCTTGGTTGCAAAACCTGGTGATAAGTTATATTGCAGATTGTCAATAAATACACAGTTGTTAGCACGGGTTGATCATCTTATGAAGGTTAAGAACTTTTGTTACTTCTTTGTCCGAATTTGAAATCCATTTTAAAATATGTTTAATTTTTTAGGTTGGCAAAAATAACTTTCGACCACCACCTAAAGTTGAGTCAAGTGTTGTGCGTATTGAACCAAAAAACCCTCCTCCACCAATAAACTTTCAGGTACTGCTTACTTTTCATTTTATTTTAATACTGCAAGCTAATATCAAAGTTTCTGATTTTTTGTTGTTCATTTAGGAATGGGATGGATTGGTCCGTATTGCATTTGTTCGTAAAAATAAAACACTTGCTGCTTGTTTTAGGTTACACATTTTTTACTTGAGAGTTGAATTATCTATTATTTTTTTTGAGAGTTGAATAAAGCATTTTTAGTTTTTTGCTGTAAAAGTTTTATTCATCTAGTTACCATGGTTGCTTAGTTTTACATAATATATTTATATTTGAATATTTAAAGTTTTTATTTAAATTTTAGTCTATTTAACTTTTGAATTATCATTTTTGAAGAGTTTCAATGTAAAAAAAAAAAGTTTAAGCCATTCTAGGAAAAAAATGAATAAATAAGCTTGAATAAATATTTATTGAATATGACATAATGTAAATTTATTTGCATTAGGTCATTAACTTTTATTGAATATGACCTAAACAATTGAGATCAATTGTAGAAATCAAGTAAAACGTCAGTTTTATGAACGTGAAATATATATTAAATAATATAATTATTTATCAATAATAAAAAATCTGATATTATTTAAAGCATGAGAAATAGTAGTAGTGGTAGTGGCAGTGGTGTTGTGGTTGTAGTGGTGGTGGCAGTGGTGTGGTGGTTGTAGTGATGGTGGCAGTGGTGTGGTGGTGGTAGTGTTGATGGTAATAGTGGTATTTCATCATCATATCTGTAGTTATTTTCTCTGTTAGAGTGAAATGATAATAAGCCAAAATTTTTCATCAGTTTAACTTCTAACAAACTAAATAAAGCATATATCTCTATTTTTGATTTTGCTGAGTATCATTCCCTTGGGATTTTAAGTTGCATTCGAAACTGTTTTGCAAGGTTATTAACTAATATTTACAAATAAAATAGGTTCATTTTTATGGCATGACTTCAGAAACTATTTCACTTTATACAACTGGCTATTTTCTACTAAAAAGCTGTTTTAGCAGCTTACCAGTTATGCTGTACTCTTTAATCATCCGAAAAAGTATTTTCCTTGTCCTGGCGTCTCAGATTATTTTTACCTTAATTGCAGTTCATAATAAATAATGACTGCAAAAATAATAACTAAAAATACACAATAGTTCTTGAGATATCGTCAGTTGAAATAATACTGTTTTAGCATTTTTGTTATAATTTGATAATATTTTAATAATAGTTTTCTATTTAAAAATAGCACTCAGGATTTGATAGTCTTAAGAGATTTATATTTTACTTGATAATCATACCTTGATCATCCAACTTTATTAAAAAATGTTGACATATAATTTTATAATATTTGGAGCTAAAATGGATGCTGTAACCAGAAATCTCTCCCAAAAAGTTTAAATGCTACTTATCTTAGGTCTTTTAAAAAAATGTCTCTTTTTCATGCTTTTATAAAAAAAAATTATATAAGTTTTTGTGAGTAACTGAAAATTGCTTTTTATTTTCAAATTCTGTTTTAGCACGCTTTAAAGTCTGCAAAAAAAAAGTTTGCAGGCCTAATTGCAAGTCTGTGTTTTAGGCATCTACAGTCATGTGCATGAAAATAGCAGTGGGAGAAAATTATTTATAAAATACATTTAATTTTTTTATGATGGTTAATTTTGTATATTTTATTCTCTAAATATTTTCTGTTAGGGTTTTTAAATATAAAGAGGTTGGCAATATTGCTGTTTATACATACATGTATCAGAATTTAAATTAAATTATAAAATTTTGCTTTATTAACTGTGCGTTATAATAGCAGTGAATATACACTTTATTTTCTATTAGTGCCTTAAAAGTTGTTTTTACCATCAATTTTTTTTATACATTAAGGTAAGTGTTTGTTCATTAAAATTAAACGATATTTTATTAAGTTTCACAATTTTATTACAGTTAAAATGGGTAGAGCAAAACATTGTTCCAATGAGAAGCGTCAAATAATTTTAAATATGTTAAAAGATGGTAAAACTTACAAATTCATCCAAGATGCTTTACAATGTTCTGCAAAAATGATTTCCAATGCCAAAAAATGGACACAAAAAGCGGAATTGCGTGGGGGAAAATTTAAAACGTCATTGAAAACGAACCGTAAAATTATTAGATGTGCGAAGATAAATCCTTTTATGAGTTCCACAGCCATATAAACGGAATTAAATTTACCAATATCGTCCTCGACAGTGAGAAGACGTTTGATAAAAGCCAATTTAAAAGCCAGAAGGCCCAGAAAAACTCCACTTCTAAATAAGAGACAGATTAAAAATCGAATCGCATTTGCTAAAGAGCATCAAGAATGGCCATCATCGAAATGGCGTAATATTCTTTGGAGTGATGAGACTAAAATTGTTTTATTTAATCCAGGTATTCACGAAAAGTTTGTACGAAGACCCCCACGAAAAGAATATAATATAAAGTATACCACCAAGACAATAAAACATGGTGGCTGCCAGGTGATAGCATGGGGTTGTTTTTCTTGGTTTGGATTGGGCCCTATTTTTTGGATCAAAGACATCATGGATGCAACTGCTTATGTTAAAATACTGCAAGAAGTCATGTTACCATATGCAAAAGAAGAAATGCCTTTGAAGTGGATCTTTATGCAGGATAATGATCCTAAACACACCTCTCGTAAAGCTAAAAATTGGTTTGTAGAGAATAAGGTTGAGGTAATGAACTGGCCAGCACAATCCCCAGATCTGAACCCAATAGAAAACCTGTGGGGGGATGTTAAAAGAGCAGTATCTTTGTCTAGACCAGCCAATAAAGAGGAACTCTGGAGAGCAGTTGAAGCAGCTTGGAGAGCTATTCCCTTAGAAAGATGTCGTCATCTAATCGAGTCAATGCCACGAAGATGTAAAGCAGTATTGAAAAATAAGGGTCATGGAACTAAGTATTAGATGTATTTTCAAAAGATGAATAAATAGTTTTTCATCAATGTTATATTTTATTTACTATTTTAATGGTAAATCTGCATTCATTAAATGTGATAAAAGTACCTTTTTTAAAAAAATGGTAGTATGATATTGTCCATTTAAGTTTAAAAGCTTTTTTTACTAAATAGTGTCAGATAACACTTAATTATGAAAAATTAACAATTACGGTCCGAAATTATGCATATCATTAAATTTAATAAGGTTTTTTTATAATTTTTTGTGCCACTGCTATTTTCATGCACATGACTGTATATAAATTAAAGTAAATATAACATGAATGTATTTATATACAAATATGAAATATAAATTAAGTTTGATGATGTTTATTGTCTGCAAGTAGCTGATGATTAGATGGGTATGGGTGAGAAGATGATGATTAGATGGATGTGAAGTTAGAAGTGAGAAGTGATGATTAGATGGGTGTGTGGCGAGAAGATTATGATTAGATGGATATGCGATGAGACTCAAAAAATAAGAAATGTAGTGATGTTTTAAAATAGTGAGTGTATTTGAGAGTATGCCTCAGAAAAGATGATTGGGTATCAGCATTTTCAGGATTAAAAAGTAAGTAGGAAGACTTTTGCGAGAGATGTAGTACTTATAAGATTTTTACTTCTGAAAAGGTTATTTCAAAAAACAGAGTCACGCTATTTTTATATCCCAATGTAAGTATTTTTTATATATATTTAGAAACTAAACTTTTTTTTTGTGTAATGGAAATATAAAAAGTATTAATTTCATTATTTAACATTATTTTATTAACATAGCTCTAAAGCAGTTATTGATATGCTTGAAAAAAACTACAAAATACATTGTTCCATCAACAATATTGTAAGTTATATTTCTTCTTCGTTTATTTTTTATTTTATTTTTAGTTTTCTTTTTATTCTTTTTTTTTTTTTTCTTTGTTTTTTTGAACTTATGCAACAGAGTTATAATATTTTGTAATATTATAATTCTGTTGTGCAATATTCAAAAATTTTGTGTAATATGTGTATTATTAGAGCATTAAATTACCAAATGGTATTTGGATATTATAATTTGGATACCATGTTGCCATGTTTAAATGCAACAAAAATTTTAAATGCAAAAATATTTTCCCATATTAGTGTAAGTTTTCATCATAAACAGAGTTGCTCCCTTCTTATAGATGATATGATCAATAACTAACTTGCCATCATCATCATTATCACCACCATTATTATCATCATCAATTTTATTTCCTGTCTCTACAGTTCATTTTCTATGCTTATGTGTCTGTACAAAACATCCAATTTATTAAAATTTGCGCCCAATAATTCATTACACTCAATTCTTCATGCTTCATAATTCCATGTAAAATCTATTCCATGTTTTACTAAAATCTAATAATCTTTTGACAAACTTTTTTTTAAAGTTTTCTTAGTTTAGTAGAAAAAAATAATGTGAACCTCTTGAACAAATTTCTTTAAAAATTATCAAAATATCCAACACCTAAATATTGAAATTTAATTATTTGAAAAACTTGTTCTTTTCATGTTTTACATTGCTTCATAATAAAATATTTTGCTACATAAGCATACCTCATTTATACATCATCATAATATATCAAACAATAGTAATTTTGTTTTCATAAAAAGATTCTGAACACCACTGAATGTCAATATTTGTTTAATAACACTATTAAAACAGAAAACTGATTTCCTTTTTGCTAGTATTAGTAGCCTTTAATATGCCCTTTATAAGTTTTATAGCTATGATGTTTTAAAAAAATTTTGTGTTAAAATAATAAATGTTATTTTTTTTTTTTATTTGATTGCAGATGATTTATTTATGATTATGTCTTTAATAGATCGTAGAAGATAATTTTAACATAAAAGAAAAAGTTTTGGAACTTTTGGTTGAAAAAGAATTTGATAAAAAGCGAGCAAGAACAATGGATATAGATGATTTTTTATTGTATGATTTTATTTTTATTTTTTTGTTATTTATTTTATTTTCTCATAATATTTATATTTATAAGATTATATTATTTAAGATGTGTATTATAAATTATATACATTTTAAAATTTTTAATATATTTATATATATATATATATATATATATATATATATATATATATATATATATCACACACACACACACAGAAATCGATAAATCCTAGTAACTGAATATCAAATAAAATATAATTTATTGGTTATTGGGAATTCTTTTTTTTTTATTTTTTTTTTAGATAAATAAAAATGAGTCCAAACCAAAATAAAACTATGTAAAAAAAAAAAATTAAAGTTGTTAAAATCTAGTTCAATTTCAATTTAAAATCTTTTATTATAAAATTAATATAAAAAAAGATCAAAATAACTTCATTTGTAAAGTTCAAATTAAATAAACTATTTACACTAATTTGTGCTGAATAATAGCATGCAAAAAAAAATTGAGTTTTCATTAGGGCAAAAAAAGCAAAAAATTCTAAGAAAACAAAATTCAGCAAAATCATTTTTTTAATATAACAATAAAACCACAGTTTAAAATGCACTGCAAATAGCAAACATGATAATGTAGTTGTCACTTGAAAATAATATTTTTTAAACAACATAATTATAACTCAATAACCTATTTTTTATTTTTATACTATTTATAACTGAGTATACTATACTTAACTAAAAATTATGTACATGATCTGTTTACAAAAGTATAATTTAAAAATATACTAGAATATAAAGAATACTACATAAATAAAGTAATACATAAATCAAATTTACAAAAGCAAATGACAACAAATTTTGTCCTTGTTGTTTGATTATTTTAATTTTAGATAGTTATTTAACAACATCAAATTAAAATAAAAAACTGTTGAATGTTTAAACAACAATAACAAAATATTAAACAACAAATGAAATGAAACAACAAACATCAAAAAATTTTGAAAAAAATACTTCAACGTACTTATTTTTTCTGGATTTTTTTAATTATTATAAATAGTTTAAAATTTAAATATTATAGAAAGGTTCTGTCTGTATTTAATCTATTTATAATTAGTAGAAAAAATATTGAAATAAGTAAAACTAAGTCCTCTTTAAAATCACATATATTTTCATAGTGTATTTGCTTTCCATGTAACTTGTTAGCTTGTCAAAACAAGAAATCTTTAAACTATCTGTTTTAGTATATTTAACAACCGGTTTCACTAGTTCCACTAGTTGCCAAGCTCTAGTTATTATCATAATTGCTTTAAATATTTTGAATTAAACTAAATTAAAAATTGCCTAAAAATGAAAATTTCAGAAACAGATAAACTTTTTTTTTTTGCTTGTACAAACTTATAAACAAGTTTTGTTTTGTTTTTTTCAACATAAATCAGTATTTCTAATGTAACTAGAAAAAAGAAAAACCACTACTGCTATTCAAAAAAAATTGTAAAAAAAAAAAATATAAGGAAAAAATCTGTGTATATTTTTTTCTATTTTATATACAGAAAAAGCTTTTATAATTAAAAAACTAGTAGGGGAGGATAGGTAGGAGTGAGCCAAGGGTAGGAGTGAACCGTTGATCCTACAGCTAAAACGGGAAATGAAAGACTCAAAATTTTCACCAAGTAGTTGCATACAATTGTCGTTAACACAATCCAATTTTATTACCTTTTTATTTTGAACAGAAAAGAGTGTCATCCACTCTTTTCTGTTCAAAAATAAATTTTTTGTATTTTTTGAAACTTCTTTAATGAGCATTCCGGTTGTTTTGAGACATTAGATAGTGGTTGAAAATTTACTAATAAAAAATGTAGTTTTTAAAACAAAGTATTTTACATGCTTAAACCACCAACTTATTGAACATTTAATGTTTTAATCCAGTTGCACAGCTTGGGGAGGAATGAGCCATTCCTTCATGTGTAGGAGTGAACCGCGGCTAACTAATACTTCACATTAAAAAAGTTTTGAATTGTGATATGTAAAAACATATTTAGGTTTGACTTTAATATCTTAGTATATCATTAGAAAACTTGTGTACAACATTTATTTTTACCACATGTTATAATGCCTCGAGTCTATAAAAGAACAACTTTAAAAGCAAAAACCTCCAGTAAAAATATGAAGGATGCATTACATTCAATTCAAAAAGGAAAAAGTATTAGAGAAACTGCAATAACTTCCAAAATACCCTATCAACGCTTCGTTGTTATTGGAAAAAAATTTTGTTTGATGAAAATACAAAACTTACCCCAAATTATTATGTTAAAAGAATATTTATAGACAAGCAGGAATTAGAATTAAAGGAATATATTTTGACTTATTCAAGAATGTTCTATGACCTTCCAATTAAAGAATGTTGGTGTATAGCTTTTGAGATGGCAACCATTAATAAAATTAGTATTCCACAGAAGTGGTACAAAGACTCAATGGCAGGTATTGATTGGATGAATAATTTTAGAAAGCGACATCCAGATTTGTCTCTTAGAACACCGGAAGAATGTTCTCTCTCAAGGGCAACATAATTTAATGCCCATAATGTAAATATATTTTTTGATAAATTAAAAGAACTTTTTGCTAGATCACCAACATTTGCAAATGGAACTTGGATTTTTAACCTTGATGAAACTGGAACTATTACAGTGCAGAACCCACAAAAGGTATGTTAATCTTCAATAGTTAGTATATTTTTCATGACATATTTTTTTCTTATATATAACCTCTAAATATTTAGGTTCTTGCAAAGAAAGGTGTGAAGAGTGTCTGCAAAGTCACAAGTGCTGAAAGATGAACCCTTGTCACAACTTGTAAAATAATCAGTGCTTCTGGACAATATATTCCACTAGTAATTATTTTATGCATTTCAGGAGCTCCTTCTGGATCTCTCGGACTTTCGTGTAAAACATGCTGGATGAACGGTGAACTTTTTTAGATGTTGTGAATCACTTTATCAAGTTCTTGTCAAGTACAAAAGAAAATCCATCATTATTAATATATGACAATTTTGAAGCGCACTTATCTATAGCAGTGTTTAATTTTGCAAAAGAGCATGGAGTGACCATTTTGACATTACCGCCTCATTCCAGGTATAAGTTACAACCACTTGATGTGGGAGTTATGGGGCCATTTAAAAGTGCATATAATGCAGCAATTGATTCTGATGTAATTGCATAATTCCGGTTCATGGTTATGTAGAATAAAAAAACATGCAAGCGAGTTTCCAACAGGTCATGATATGATATTGAGAGACACGAAGCAAGAACTCAAATTCAGTGGTGTTATTGTTGCTACTATGTTATAACAATTGGTGACGAAGATAAAAATGATGCATTTATTGAATATATCTTGTTTGGATTTAGAAAATGACGATTTTGTAGAGTATATTGAAAGATTTGACAATTTTTTACTGGCCAACTACATAGAAGATGCTGAAAAACAAAAAGCTGTATTTTTATTGACCATAGGAGAACCTGCTTATAATCTAAAGTTTATGCGAAACACCAAGAATAAGAGTTTTACTCAAATAGTTAAACTAATGACCATTTGAAACCAATACCAAACTCCATTGCACAGCGTTTTCAATTTTATAAAATAGATAGAAAGGATGAAGAATCTGTAAGCAAGTATATTACTGAATTACGTAGACTATCTGAACACTGTGAGTTTGGTGAAAACTTGAATGATTATTTAAGGGACAGGTTTGTTTGTGGATTAAATAATGAAAATGTGCAACAAAAATTATTAACCATAAAAAATCTAACATTGGAGACAACACTTGACACAGCGAGAGCATATAAGACAGCATATAAAGATACCAAAGCTATACGTACAAAAGAAAGCTTTATAGAGCAGGATGAATTGCATAAAGTAGAAATTCGGACAAAATCAGAAGAAAGTAAAGAATGTTTTCGTTGTGGGTTCAGGCGTCATCAAGCAAACAATTGTAATTATTGTTATTTAAAATGTCATACATGTGGAAAGATAGGGCACATAAAGAGAAAGTGCAGATCAGAAAAGAAAGAGTTAGATCATAGGAAGGAAAAGAAATTAGGTGTAAAGAAAATTCAGTTTCACGATGAATTTGAAAAAGGATGTACTGCTGAAACAAATATGAAAAAGAATGTACTGCTGAAATAAAGATGATTTTCTAGCTCTATAAATCAATAAGTGAAGAGTCTGATAAAGTGACTGGACCAGTTATGGTTAATGTAAAAACCAATGAAAGTGAGGTTTCTATGGAAGTGGATACAGGGGCAGCTGTCTCTGTAATGAGGATCTCAGCTTACAAAAGAGTAAAATAGAATGAAGGAAAATTGATTAGACCAGAGGGAAAAGGGTTGGTTGAAGTAGTGTATAATGGACAATGTTGTAAATTACCTATAACTGAAAATATATTTGGAAAATATATTTTCAGTTATAGAAGATATATTTGGTAGTAATTGACAGTTTTTCAAAATGGATTGAGGTGGAAGTAGTGCGCAGTACTGAAGCCGAAGCAACAATAAAGGTACTCAGAAGATTATTTTCTACCCATGGTATACCGCGAGTTATCATTAGTGACAATGGATCTGGATTTTTGAGTGAAGAATATAAAGAGTTTTTATATTCAAATAGAATTAAACCAGTGTATTCTGCATCGTATCATCCTGCTTCAAATGGTCAAGCAGAACGAATGGTTCAAACATTTAAGAATTCAATTAAAAACTTTCAAGGAAATGATATCGAGACACAGTTGTGCTGATTCTTTTTTAAATATCGTGTTGCACCTCATTCTACAACAGGAGTTTCTCCAGCTGAACTTTTATTGGGTAGAAGATTACAAAATCTGTTGTCAATGCTACATCCTGAAGTTAGCTCTAAGATCAATGAAAAGAAGCTATCAGACAGTTCTATGGATAAAGTTCCTTTTTTTCAACCAGAAGACACGGTTTACGTCAGAAATTATAGTAGAGGTGAAAAGTGTATTGCAGCTATAATTATATCAGCAGTTGGGAATGTTAGTTACAAAGTGTTAACGTTAGATGGTCGTATCCAGATAAGACATGTGGACCAAATTGTAAATTGTTGTGGGAGAAAGGTTAATGAAAACTCTACTAAAACACCTGAAAGCATAAATACTCCAATTCTGAGCAATGCTGATAAACCAAATGAAGTGACTGAAACCCCATGTTCAAGTGAAATCTTGAGTGAAAATCGTGATGAGATTAGCATGGATGTTGAGCCCGAGAAACTGTATGAACAGTCTGGTTCATACAGTTTCTCAAACAATTCTGGTTCACGTTATGTAGAATAAAGAAACGTGCAAGCGAGTTTCCAACAGGTCGGGATATGATATTGAGAGACACGAAGCAAGAATTTTACTTGTAGTGTGATGTTATAAATAAATTACATATTGAGTTATTACAAAGAGTTGTTATTATATTCAATGGTGTTATTGTTGCTACTAGGTTATAACAGATTTATGGATGCTCCACAATCCTGGAAAAACATTTACTATTTACCAAGTGGCTGCATCTGTAGGGCTTGCTTTTCTGAAGGCCATAACGCTATCTAACATTGTAGCTGCTTTTAAAAAGACAGGTATATTTCCTTATGACAGGAACATGTTTACAGATATTGATTTCATGTGCAGCTCTGTGACGAACAGAATTTTTGATGTTAACAATACTTGCATAAAAAATCACGTAAGCATTACTTCTGATAATTTTTTTAACCCACATGTTTCACCAAATGCAGACCCCACTACCTCTACTACTATAGATACAAACAAACTAGTTACCAATGATACCATGGTTGATCTGTCTACAACATCAGGTTCTTTTATCAGCAAAAATCTGGAAAAAAAACTGGAAAAGAAGGGAAAGGAAGAAGGGTTGCTCTATGATTGCCACAGACACTCCTGAGAGAGATCGGATCGAGAAAAGGCTCTGAAATAAAAAGTTAGTCAAACTTACAAAAGAATTAAAAGCAAATTTACAGAAAAATAAGAAAAAATTACTTAAAAAAGACGATTCTGTATTGGAACATTTGACAACTACAAATGAAAAAGGTTTAATAATCCTAGAAAATGATTTGTGTGCTTGTGATATATATCCTAAAGAAGATGACTTTGTATTGGTTAAATTTGCAACAACAAAAAAAAATTTTTTATGTTGGAAAGGTATTATGTATAAACTCTATAAAAGAAAAAGTTACAATCAGTTATCTTTGGAAAAAAGAGGATATTTTTAAGATGTCTAATTCACCAGATATTGTGACTATCCCTAGAATGGATGTTAAATTATTGCTACCTCGGCCAACTTTTTCTGGAACAAATAAAAGGCAGCATATAGTTTATAAATTTTCTTTATTTCATTAAATGAGTTTGAAATTGTGTTGAATCTATTGCTATTTATGTTACATTATTACTTAATTATGTTATGCTTAATTATAAAGTATTTGTTACTTACTTAATTTTAAATAAATTAGTTAAAGAAATTATCTAGTTTTAGTTTTCTGGTAATCAAAGATAATGGCTCACTCCTACCATTTGCTTGGTTCACTCCTACCCATGCTTGGGTAGAAGTGAACCAGTAGCAACACTTGCGTTATTAATCAAGTTATTAAAAATCTGGAGATATTTTGGTATTTTATGTATTACTATTAGAAACCTAATACTTTAGGGTACCTTAGGCTCCTTATCGAATACTTTTTCCACTTTTGGTTTCCTTGATAAAATCGATTTAAAAAAAGGTGGCTCATCCTCCCTTAACATTAATCTAAATATTTTTTTTTAAGTTCGACTTTAGTAAAGTTTATTTATCAATTCTGCTAATATCCATTTAGAAAAATTTTGATGGTTAGGGGAAAGCAGGGCAACATGGCGGACGTTTTGAAAGCCCTGAGTTGTTTCAAAACTATAAGTCGTGAAGCCATAGTACTTTCTAAGTATGTTTATGTTATTAAATTCTTTAATTGCCTGCATGAATTTTCAGTTTGCAAATATAACAATTTGAAATAAATATTAAAATAAAAAGTTCATAAGTTTGTCATCTGGTCACGTGACCAGGGCGATATGACTTATTATGCAATTTTTACCTCCAATTTTATAAAAATTTTAAAACTACCAATAACTCTAACTAAATTAACAAAAAATAAACACAAATTGCAAAAAACTACTTCTAAAGAAGTTAAACTTGAAGGGCACCATCCATTATGAGAAACCGAAAGTGAGGAATTTTTTTTTAGGCGCTAAAAGTAAACTTATGTGTATAAAATTGCGTTTTCACCCAATTTTAAGATTTTTTGTTGAGTTGTTATATGAAAACCCATCTTGCCTCATTCGCCATGTTGCCCCGCTTTCCCCTATTACTTCATTAACAAAAATTATTAATCATTATGCGATTTTTTTTTAAAGCATAATTTACCACAAATCTTTGTAGAAGCAATTTTGTATCTTTTGTAGTTAATGAAGATTACTAAAAATATATATTTTTATAAATTTTATAAATTAATAGATTTTTTTTTTATCTTACTTTTGTAATATTGAAAGAATTTAACAAAATTTGTTATATTAGGCCGGGTGAATAAAAATGAGCAAATGCTTTTACTCAGTAATTGGTCAGCTTTACGTGAATAAAAACATTAAAAGTTTTGGTCAAATTTTATTCACGTAAAGTTAGCCAATTTACTTAGTAATTGTTCGGCTTTACGTAAATAAAAACTTAGATAAAATTGGTTTAGCTTTTATTCACGTAAAGCTGACCAATTACTGAGTAAAAGCAATTGCTTGTTTTTATTCACCCGGCCTATTCTCTTAAATCTTTTTAAAAAGTTAAAAAACAAAACTTTTTATATTTGTACAATTAAAAGATTAAAAGATCAAATTTGTTAAGTTTAAATTCTTAGAATACACAATTATTTATTAAGTAACAAAGATTGGTATTAGACAATATAGCATATTGTGACATGATCATTATAAGGTTTTACCTTCCATTTTTAATGTTAAGAAAGTTTAACTTTTGTTTGTTATTTATTATTCTTATAATTATAATTATATAATTTGAATATATTAATCTTACTTCAATAAAACTTTGAAAAATGTTTGTTTTGTTAAATTTTATTTAATAAAATTGGAAAATGTAACGCAATACATAACTTTTTCTTAAATCGAGTTTGTAACAATTGGAACAATTTAGATCATGAAACTGTTAATGTGAAGACGATAAACTTTTTTAAAAACAATATTGATAAAAGATAAAAGTAAATTTTAACTGTTTATAAAGTAATCTCTTATGTGATTACTTTCCGTGTAATTTTTACACTACGGTTTTCAATTTAATAATTTAATAATAAATAATAAGCAGTATCAAAATAAAGCACGAAATACAGCAAATACATCTAAAAACGCTAAAATCTATAGGTATTAGTCTAGAAATCGCGAGAACAAAATATATATCATTGAAAACGCTGATACATACATTGACAATATATGAATAAAAATCCTTAAACGAATTCTATGGAACCCAAATAATTCGCTACGCATAAATTAAAAAAAATAAGGTAAGACAAAATATCAACTTCGGGTTGGATACGGCAAATACGACATACAAAAATAGTTTTACTTAACGAACATTGTGTCTTATAAGAGATGGGAAGCATAACTAATTAATCAAGGCAATTACCTTTAACTGTTCCACGTGTCAGAAAAGTCTTACATTTAGATCCAAACACAGTTTGGAAAAATCGTAAACCAAAACTTATTGTTCGTCATAAAGAAGCTATATTACAATTTGCAAAAGAACACATGTCTTGGCAGGAAGAGTGGCATCAAGTTCTCTTTAGTGATAAAAAAAAGTTCAATCTAGATGGTCCTGATGGTTATCAAAATTACTGGCGCAAACTTTAAAAAAAAGGAAGAAACTCGGCTGAGTAGCATTGTGGTGGAACTGTTATGGTTTAGGGGGCTTTTTCCTTTGCTGGAAAACTTCCACTGGCATGGACTTTAACAAAATGAATTCACAGGACTACATTGACTTTTTAGAAATTAGTTTGTTTGAACTTGTTGAAGAATTGATGGGTGAAAATTTCACTTTTTAACGATACAATACTGCTATCCATTCTTCAAATCTTACAAAAGCTTGGTTCAGAAAAAAAAAATATTCACGTAATTGAATGGCCCGCATGCAGTCCAGATATAAACCCAATTAAAAATTTATTGGGAATACTTTCTAGAAAGGTTTATGAAAATGGTAAGCAATTTGAATCTACATTGGAGCTGAAAACTTGTATCAGAAAAGCTTGGAATGAAATATATATTGAAACTATCCAAAATCTTGTGTCAAGTCGCATAATTAAAGTAATTAAAAATTCAGGAAGCTAAATACTAAATGAGCGTAGAAACTTAAATGTGGCTAATTCTGTTTTATCCACAAATTGAATACTTTTAATTTTTTTTTCAATTTGTAATTAAATAAACATTTTTGTAAACAAATTTATAAATTTTTTAATTGTATTAGAAGATAATAAGAAATAAAGTAGATTTAGTAATTGTTTTGCTGCCATTTTTGTTTAATTAGAACGAAAAATAAAGGTAAGACTAATTCTATTCACTCCGCTGTATATATATATATATATATATATATATATATATATATATATATATATGTATGTTAAAATTCTGTAATTTTTTAATTTTTAGACCGTTGAATGTGTCTGTGTGTGTATTTAATGTAATTATATTTATATACATGTATAATTATAAATGTAAAATTAAAATCATTTTCCTTTTAGGCTGCTAAATCATTTCAACACTGCTGGTATTCATTTTTCATGAATAAATTTTTATTTTTCATAACAATTTATTGTTTTTTTGTATTGAAACCATATGAAATCAACTTCGGTAACAATCCTTTTTATTATAGATTTTTATTATCTTTTCAATCTTAATAATTATCTGTTTTTATTTTTTACGAACTTGATGAATTGAACCCAAAAATTTGTCTGCGAATACCGATTGTAATGACAAATTTGTCATATAAATTTTAATTTTTTTCAATTTTTGTGCACTGGCTCTTCAAATCAAACTTCCTGCATTTTCAAAAATGTGAATTATTTTTTAATAACTGCTAGATTACTGAACTAATCTGATATCCATTTTTTATCTAGGTTTAAGGTAAGGCCCTGCAAATTCGCGAATCGAATCAAGTGACACTTGAATCGAATCAAGTGACACTTGATTCGATTCGCGAATCAAGTGTCACATTTCATTCAAAATTCGATTCGAAACAAATGATTCGAGTTTTTCGAATCACTATTTTTTGAGTGTTAATGTTTTTTCAGATATCCAACGCTAAGATGCAAAACTCAAAACTAAGATCAAAACGTTTTTATTTATCTCAGCCAGAATAAAGTAATTCTAATCGAAAGTATTTTTAACACTGATTCTAAACAACCGCTGAAATATTAATCCGGTCATAATAAAATATTTTAGTAAATTTTTTCGAAATATTACTGAAATATTGAAATATTACCTCACATTATTGATTCGATTCGTAATTTGATTCGCGAATGAATACCCGCTTCGATTCGAAACTAAAAATGCTGATTTGCAGGGCCTTAGTTTAAGGTTTTTATTTTTGGGAAGGAGACATCCATAAAGTACGATCCCCCTTGTACGTTCCTTTATGCATTCAACGACCTCTCTCTCTTTCTCTCTCTTCGTACGTACAAAATCAACCCCCCCTCCTTTCCCAACAAATTTTTTGAAACAAAAAATAAAAATAAAATTTAGTTCATTTCTCTGCTACTGAGCATAACATTCATTTTAAAACTCGTGAAACTTTATAATTTTGTTTGAGAGAAATTAAGTTTTAGAAATATAGAACGAGATTTATTCAAGCCATGTATGTACTCGCTGCCTTTAAAACCACTCTTTTCTTTTAAGCATTCGTATTTTGTTTTGTTAAATTTTATTTAATAAAATTTTTAAATAATAAAAAAACGTATTTGTGTAACTCCCCCCACCCCTCGATTACCAATAACGGACCCAGCATTGAGAGGGGTAACAAATCTATAAATCTTAAACTGAGAGGGCTTACCCTATATATAAACCTGACGGGGGATGAAGTTGAAGGGTTTTTTCGTTCCCAGCCTCCGATCATCGCAATTTTTTGCAAAGTCTCGTTATTTTACATAAGTATAAACATACAAATGTTTAGAGTTAGCTCTATGTCTGGAAGTTAACTCTCTCAAACACCAAAAAATCCTGGATCAGTCGCTTTTGTCTACGTACTTTATTTTTTTGAAACCTTTTTTAAAAAATTAGATATTTTATAAAAATTTTTATAAATAGATATTTTTTTTTATTATTATTATTATTAGTAATAAAATTATTAGTTATTTTCAGTAACTAAGTTCCAACACCCACAATTAATTGTAAAGCATCTTTTTTTAACACCAATGTCCATGTACCGCACCTAGATTCGTCTAATAACTAGCTGGACAAAAACATTTTTATATACAATTTGATTGTTCTGGTCATGTATGGTTGTAATAAATAATTCTTTGTTGTTTTGTTGAATAATTGTTTGTGATTTAACTGAGACGTTTCGAATGTAGTTATAATAAAAATGTTAATTAGGAAATAAAATATATGATTGAAAAAACATATAGAAAATAGTTTTTAAAAGCATACAACAAAATTTATATTGAAATTAGTGTATTCTAACTGTTAAATATAATACTAGTCGTTGCGATTTGATTTTTTTGGAGGCGGGACGAATCAAATTCAAAATCACCACTGGCAATTTATCATTTATCTTAACAGACTTAGAGAATTGATAACATAGTCAAATGTAAAAAGGAGCATATTCAGCAAATCTATATTTATAAAAGTACTATTTCTTAGTATGGTGCCCTCGAATTACTCTATAATCTTTATTAGTGCTCATTATAATTCTTACGGAACCAAGAATACACATCTTAATGACTTGCGTGCTATGCATTTCAATCTCTCTGCTTATTCTTGGATTTGGAGAAAACCTGCAAGCCGTATTAATTATTTGTTTTCTGTAACCATGTTTCGGTATGTCAAGAGTTTTTTCGATTTGCCCTTTGTTTTTTAAATTTTTGTTTCATCTTCCAAACTTTGATTGACACTACATTTATCGTCACCACTTATACCTTGCTACTTTTTTGCTATCCGAACAGTGTTTAGAAGGCATTATAAATGTATAAATTCAAGCATGCAATGTAGGCTAAAACCATCATTTGATTTTTTATCAACGATTTGTTTTAATTAATCATTTTGAAATAGCACCACTGATACAGCATTTTTGTTTAGAGTATGTGAGTTAAACATTGCATACTTTTCTGTCTCTCGTCGTAAGTAACAGATTGTGTTTCATAATAAATTTAAATTCTTCATAACTACACAGGAAATATTTTAGACCTTATGTTCAAAATGTTTGTTTTTGTTGCAGTCAATTTCTGTTTCTTTTCATAGTATAAATTTAATTGGTCGGCAATAAAGCGTGGGCCGTACTTTTTATCAAACAATATTATGACACTCATCACTCACTCTCAATGGAACAAATGCAAACACAAATAGAAACTAATTGCTAGCATCTGATTCTCAAATCTTTGTTTTACATGAACATTGTTGTTGAAAAAAGATGGTTAACAAATAATTTATGGAGTTCATGTGGTCAAAATTCCATAATATCCCTGTTTGTATATTAATGTATGTATGTAACAAGTTAAAAGGTTCATTTTTGAAGAAACTTTCAAAACCACAAATGGAAACTGCTGCTTCAGTAACCTTTTTTAACATTTCTTTCACAAGATGGAGTGTAAAGAGGAAACTAAGCAGCATCAAAATTAGTGACCAGTTATTTTTTAAGATCATATGTAGAATTTAGGTATGTAAACACTTGTTCCGATATTATTTCCTTTTCTTAATCTAACTATTTTCTTAATCTAATTAAGCTGTTATGTAAATTTTTTTACTTATTACAAAATTAGCGCATATATACGCGCTATTTTTTATATACATAATTTTATAAATATAGATTTTTATATTAGAAGGCGTATTCTACTTGCTGTGTTATTATATAAGTATATGTTTCGATAAACTCTAAAAAGTGTACTTAGTAATAGTAATACTAACTGCTGTAACGACGATTGTCGCGGAGTATAAAGTTTAAAATTTATACTTTAACAGCCGTTAACAAATGTTTATCTAGTTTAGCTTTAAAAGAATTTACTGTCATTGTAGAAACTACTTTTTCAGGTAAAGCATTCCAATGAGGTATCACTCTGTTTGTAAAAAAATTATGTCTCGGTGTTGTTTTTGCAAATTCTCTTTCAAATTTCATTGGATGACCTCGAAGTCTCTGGAAGAAGCTTTATTAGGCTCTTTATACCACAATATCTTATCAATCCCAGTTATTCGGCTCTTTATACCACAATATCTTATCAATCCCAGTCCTAGTTGTACTTAAATATAAAGACAATTAAAAAATTAAATAGTCTCTATATTTATACATATTTTTCGCACTGGTAATATATAACAGTTGGGCTGAAAAGTTCGTATCGTTTAATAGAAAAACACATTTTTTTTTTTAAATTCGGTTTTATGATTCAACATAGTTTCCATCAGAGGCGATACAGCGATTATAGCGATCTTCCAACTTTTCGATACCATTTTTGTAGTACGATTTGTCCTTTGCTTCAAAATAGGCTTCAGTTTCAGCGATCACCTCTTCATTGCTCTTAAATTTTTTACCAGCGAGCATTCTCTTGAGATCTGAGAACAAGAAAAAGTCACTGGAAGCTAAGTCTGGAGAATACGGTGGATGAGGAAGCAATTCGAAGCCCAATTTGTTCAATTTAAGAATCGTATTCATTGACTTGTGACACGGTGCGTTGTCTTGATGAAACAGAACTTTTTTCTTCTTCAAATGAGGTCGTTTTTTTTGCAATTTCATCCGTCAAACGCTCCAATAACGCAATGTAATAGTCACTATTGATGGTTTTTCCCTTCTCAAGGTAATCGATGAAAATTATACCATGCGTATCCCAAAAAACAGAGGCCATAACCTTCCCAGCCGATTGTTGAGTCTTTCCACGCTTTGGAGTCGGTTCATCGCGTGCAGTCCACTCAGCTGACTGTCGATTGGACTCCAGAGTGTGGTGATGGAGCCATGTTTCATCCATTGTTATGTATCGACAAAAAAAATCGGTTCTATTTCGATGTAACAGCTCCAAACACTGCTCAGAATCATCAATTCGTTGTTGCTTTTGATCGATTGTGAGTTCACGCGGCACCCATTTTGCACAGAGCTTTCTCATATCCAAATATTCATGAATAATATGTCCAACGCGTTCCTTTGATATCTTTAAGGTGTTAGCTATCTCCAACAACTTCACTTTACGATCATTCAAAATTATTTTGTGGATTTTTTTCACATTTTCATCGGTAACAGCCTCTTTTGGGCGTCCACTGCGTTCATCGTCTTCGGTGCTCATATGACCAGTACGGAATTTTGCAAACCACTTACGAATTGTTGCTTCGCCTGATGCAGAGTCTGGATAACACTCATCAAGCCATTTTTTGGTATCGGCAGCACTTTTTTTCATTAAAAAGTAATGTTTCATCAACACACGAAATTCTTTTTTTTCCGTTTTTTTCACAATAACAAAAGTAGCGTCACTACTAGAGCAATGTATCACAAACTAATAATCTGACAGCTGTCAAATTTTTACACGTATCTTTTCAAGGTTGGTACTAACTAAAAATGGTATGAATTTAATTCTAGTGGCGCCATTTCTTAGAAACGATACGAACTTTTCAGC